GGACGTTGTTCAACATTTAGACTCTTCATGATATTTATCATCATCTTATTTTTTTTAAGCATAATTAATACCTGAATTTTATTTGAATTTTTCATATTTTCTTCTTGTGGAATTGTATTTGTAACAACAACAGCTTCAAATGGTGAATTATTTATTCTTGATATAGCTGGACCACTAAAAATTCCATGAGTACATATTGCATAAACTTTACTTGCACCTGCACTTAATAATCTATCAAATAAAAAGTCAATCACAAAAACAAAATCTATAGAATATCTTAATTTACTTTTGTGATGCACATTCAAATGTTCCACATGTATCTAAAATCAAAACAAGAAATATTTAATTTATAACGTTAAAATTATATTAAATAAAATATACCAGCCATATCATCCACTAAAATTGCAATACGTTTAGTAACGTCACCAACAAGTACCATGCAATCAATTTCATTAGCCCGTTTTCGTTCTTTATGAATAAGGGCAAAGTCAATATTTAATCGATCAGCAATCGATGTTACACTATATAGACAATCATATTTAATTGAATAAATCGAAAGATTAAAAGAAAAAGCAAATTACCGTTTAGCACCTAAATAAAAGAAAAAGAAAATTTTGTATGTTCACTTTCTTGAAATAAATGAATTAGTTTTACCTCCAGCATCAGGACTGACAATAACAGCATTTTTAAAATCTGGAATATGTAACGATATCCATCGAATAACAGCAGGTTCAGCAAAAAGATTATCAACAGGAATATCAAAAAAACCCTATATTATAAAAATATATCTATTGACTAAAAGATTAAATATATACTTGTATTTGAGAAGCATGTAAATCCATTGTTATGATATGATCAGCACCAGCTACACTCAACATATTTGCTACAAGTTTAGCTGAAATTGGCGCACGACTCTATATGTTGAAAAGCAAAAACAATTTTCTTGATTTTGGGGAACAGAAGTTTTCTTTTTTTCTGTTACTTTATCTTTACGATCTTGTCGAGCATAAGGAAAACATGGAATAACAGCAGTAACTCGTGAAGCTGATGCGATTTTACATGCATTTATCATAATCAATAATTCCATTAGATTATCATTAATTTCTCCACAACCACTTTGAACGATAAATACATCTTCACCACGTACTGATTCATTAATTTCAACACTTTAATACATTAAAAAAATTTTTTACTTTAGGAAAAAATCTTTTTTTTTCTTTAATTTTCTACCTTGTTTCTCGATTACTAAATTTTTTTGTTATAACTCTTCCTGGTTCCAAACCAAGTCGAGCACAAATTAATTTTGTTAATTCAGGATGTGATGAACCACCGAATACTTTTATGTTAGGCATTCTTGAACGTAATGGTGGATGATTTATTGATGTTGTTGGACTATAATCTGAATGTTGACTAGAATCAGAATTCGTTCGTATTCTTAGATATGTTTCATTGTCATGATTAAATCGATTGTCATCTAGAAATTTTTTGTTATAATAATTAATATAAAATTCAATTTTTATTTAAATATTTATTATCATATTAGTAGAAAAAAAGGAACTCATGCTTTGAGTGAGTATAACTAAAAAGAAAAAATAAAACAAAAACAAGTATATATATGTATACTTACTTATTGTCAGATGATGATTCTCTTCCATCTCGATAGAAAATATTATTGATTGTAGCAGTAGTAGATGTAGTAGTAAGAATGATCTTCATAGAGAGAAAAATAACAACAGGAAAAACATGTTCCTTTTTAATCTGCGTAATTCACGTTTTATTTCCTTTCTTTCCTTTCCATTGAATCTACTCCCATCTAACGATAAAATATTGTAGCAGAGAAAAAAACAAAATATCAAGATCGAAAAGCATAGAATGGTTTTTTTTTACTCTTCTCCTTTTAATTTAGCAATCATAAAATGAAATAATAATGACCAATTGAAACTAATAGATGAAGCAAAATATATTACATTATCTATTCGTCTTTTTAACATATAAATCTCAGATCGATGCCAATGAGTATCGAGTGACTTCTATTATCAAAAACAGAGCAAGTCGCTTTTTTTTTTTTCTCTTAATCAATAAAGCAAAATACGCTTTAGCAAAAGGAAAATATTATCAACTATAGTAGATATTGTAAGTCACGTCAGTATGTCTATATCTCTGCAAGATATTCCTAGCAGTAATGACAAGATTAACTCATTGACGTCCTAAAAAAAAAACATTACATACACAAACAAAAAACAGCCTAATTATGTTATTTTTCTCGGCAAGAAAAACACAAGGGAGAACATGCCTTTGTATTTCTTTGATTGGCAGTTCGAAAACAAAAATAATAAGAAGACCTTTACGATTCAATATTATTTGATTGGTGTTTTATCACAATTTATTATTTATATCGATAAGAATATAGAAAATATGAAAGTTCATTTTATCAAACATCATAAATAAAAGAATATCTATTTAAAAATTTCTTTCAAGTAATCAAAGATTCATATTAAATTGAATTTTACAAAAATTTTTTATTTCCTGATCTTCTGATGAGGAATAAATGATAGAGGGCGTTATTTATCGTCTAAAAATATTCTCCAAATCGAAATTCGTTCTGTTCAATGTCTATGATCATCTATAAATGCATCATAAGTTCAATATTGAAATCGAGATCTACTCATACACCGAGGATGTAATTCATTTTGAAAAGTTAATACTTATAGCATATGAAATGCATCATTCACAGAGGTCATTTTATGAAGTTGACTTCTTTTCATAAATTAAAATCAGATTTTATTTTAATGGCAGCTAGTATATGAAATTAGATCTCAAGGAAACATTAGTTCTACCCTTGTTAAAGTGTGACTATAGTGCAGTCTCATCTTTTGCCTGAAAATCAACTCTTTCCAAAAAGAATGTCAGAACGCAGTTTCAAAGAGTACCCATAGTAAATAATCTTTAGTTGCAAACTTATTTTCTTATATTCATACTTTCAGATATGTTGCTACTATAGTGCATTTCAATATTGATAGGTATTTCTTACCATAGTTTACATCATCAGATCATGTATGAATTCTGGATAGAAACGAACACCTATTAAGGAAATCATTATTAATAAATATTATTATAGTACATCATCAGAATGTAGGTTACTTTCGAATACTTCATGAAAGACTATAAGCTACAGATTCAATCAACATTCGATAAGAAACGAGTCTTAAAACAAGTTCAAATATATTTTTTTGAAAGAAACTTTCTTTTTAAAGGTTTATTTCGATACTGGCTAGGTTATTTTTATGTTAGATCATCAATACAGTTTTTATCTTGGATGATTCTTCTATGAATCAATAGATGAACTACGAAATCTTTATACTCATTACTTAGATTTCTCGCAAATTGGTTTGTTCAGTTTAGGACTTTATCATCTGACTTGAATGAAATAATGCAAGATATTGTCTCAATCAAACAAAATTTCTTAAATAGAGTTTAATTGAAGAAAAAACAAACTAGCATGATTATGTTGATATTATTATTTTTTTTCTTTGCATACAATGTTCAAACTGTTTTCAGGTTGATCAAAAGTTCTGATAACATTAAATAAGACCATCGAAATAGGGAGATATTTTTCATATTAATTACTAAATGTTCAACATATTCGCTATAATTATTTATAGAAATTTCCATGCTGTCTAACACTGTGTTAAATGGTTTTTCAAATTCTTCTGAAATATTTTCAGCTATGTTGAAAATTGTACGAATTAATGATTTTTCATTTGTTTAATCAGTTAAATTAGGCCTGATATAATACTTTTGTCAAAAATCGAATAATGCGAGGTCTAACGATAAGAGTGGATGCGGCATGACGTTGATATTTTTTTTGGTATTAAATAATTAATAACATCTGAATACGTATGAGGTCAAACATGATTATGAAATAATTTTATATCTTTTGGACCTGATGTGCATACTTTATTGACAAAAAGCTTGAGGCACCTTTTAATATAATAGTTGTGATCTATAGTCTTGTCTTTATCCACAGCATGTATAATAGCAGGACAATTTGATTTAAAGAACATAGAAAACAAAGTTTATGATTCAAATCTACTTCCACTAACAATAGTTGTTGATGATTAACCTCCACTAATCCAGGTAGAGTTAATTGAGTTTTAACTTATTCTTGCTTTTGTTCATCATTGAGTTGATGATACATCCAACGTTATGTAACTTGTCTCATGTTTAGACAATCATAGATAATTCATTCTATTGTATTAAGAGAAAAAAAATCTAAGCTCAAATGTCATCATCAGTTGAGTGTAGGTTATTGTTGATAGTCTGTCGTATGAGATCAATATTGACATCTGCCAGCTAGGAAACCAGACAAGCAGATTGAGGTCATCATTGACGTCTTCTCTTGTTTTATGAAAATGGTTTGTTCACTTTGTATTTGTGAGATATGATAAAGTTTTAAACCTCAATATTATTGTATGTTCTTCATGAGTTATCTTTGCATATTATAACAAAATAATCCATATTTTGATATAATATCGATTGAATTACATCTGAAAGAATATCAGAATTAAGTTCAAAAAAAAAAGATTTATTGTATATATATTATAGCCAAGAGATTCTACTATATGTTCATATAACAAATTGTTTGATGTTAGCTGGTTTATATAATTGTCAATAATGCTATTAGAAATTTGCGGTCAAACCTAAGTAATTTTCATTTAACAGTGTTCAAAAAGTGATGAAATTAAAAATAACGATGATGAATGAGTTTTACAAATAAATAACTTTGTTGCGAAGATTTTTAGATTATTCGCTCATTTTCGACGTAAGAACTATGTATGATCTTTACAAAACAGTTTCGTTCATGATTCAATTCACTGGTATACTTTTGTTGTAATTTATGCATATCTTGAAATTAAATAATGTAAACAAAAACATTTTTTTTTAAGTAATTTAGAAATGGATATTAATTTTTCCATGACAACGATTTATTCTACACTTTAATGTCATATATTGAAGTACAACATGATGAACATATCGGATGGTTTTGTAATAATGATCTTATTCTTGTTTGTGATCGAGAAACATTCAATAATGAAAATAATAGTCCATTTATGGATGATAATAAACTTCAATCAATATATTCATCGTTTATAACGCGAAAATGCCGTCGTCATATACCAAAACTTGATTTTAATGATGAAAAATTATTTCCTTCTAGATCACATAAAACTACCCGTACAACAACAACAATAACAAATATAACTTCAAGTGAAATAAATCTTGATGAAGAGCTTATTTCAGAATTAAATTCTATGTTAGATTGTCGTGAATATGTTAGTAAACAAAATCATTTTTTTGATCGAAAACAATTTCAACAAGCTCAAGCAGCACAAGCCGATCAAGAAAAAAAATTAGAAGAATTTAAAAAACGTCAACAAGAACAAAGTAAAATTGAAAGACAACAACGAAGACGACAACATCCATTATATGTTAGTCGATTTGATGAAAAACGTTATGTACCATCAATAAGAAAAAAATTATATAAATTTGATAATTAAAATTTTTTTTTTAATGAAATTTCTCATACTTATCAATTTCAAACGAACAAATCTTTAAAAAAAGAGTTTAATTTGTTTCATAAGTATACTAAATTTAAGATTAAGAAAGTCTCTAAAAAAATATTCCAATTATGTAATCTCACATCTTGATTACAACCATAAGTTGATGCAAAAAAAACACTGAAAATCTTACAGTCAATAAATAAACTGCTATCCTATGTGACTCGGAAGAATAGAGAGAAGTGTAAAAAAATGCTTGAATTTCATCATCCTACGTTTGTATTGACAGAAAAAAAAGAAATCGATTAAACTGTGGTGAAAAAGAACCCTCATCAATTGATACTGATTGAAACATTCTATTTTTACCAAATTCAGAATATAAGAAAAGATGTTAATAACATACCAGGTGTCTTAGTGCTTTTATTTTTTATCCAAGTGACGTACATATTCATCTAATACAGTCCTGAACAAAAGGAACCGCTCCCCTGAAGTGATTCGAATTTTATTGATATTGAGCTGATTTTTTGTAAACATGTGACTCATGATTACCCTGATCGAAAGCACTGACCAGCCCTTGATTGATTGCTGTACAATGGAGTTAAGCCTCGAACATTATCTTCACCCTGTCATGACTATATCTCAGCCACTTTGGCATATTCATTTTCGCGGAACGTTTCATTCAAAAGTCCATCATCGAAACTATCTCCAATACAAATTTCGTAGATAAATATATTGAAATGATTAAGATATGATTTTCTCAATGAAAACTTTTGTCCATCGATTAAGTCTAGATTTTGCTTGTGCATATGTAACTCACGATGATCTTGACCGATTTCCTTGAAAATTTCAGCAAAACGTTCTCATAGGCTCTTGAATATTTTTTGTGAAAGTTTCATAACTATAACTTTTAATAAAGTCTATATAGAACCACAAAAAGACTCCTTCATAGCATTGCGTGCTAATCGCTGAAATTTTGATGCCATGCAATGATCTTTGGATACATAAAACTTTATTTCTGGCTTAGAAAATCACCTAAAACCGACTCTGCAACAAGAAAAACAAATAGAATTAACTTGACTCTAAATATATCCGACTTGTAGTTAGAAAACTAAAATGATTTCTGTTAAACGTTCATGAGTTAAACTAAACATTTTTCTTATTCGAAAATTTATTCGAACACATAAGATCAATCAATCATCTTGTTCAATAGATATTCTTTTTATTGTTGATGGTTGTGATTGTACAAAGTATAGAAAGAAACAATAAAGATCAATGCATTGTATAATCTCCCTCGGATTCAATCAGTGAATTGATACGGTTTGGCATTCTTAACATCAAGTTGGTAGCTAATTCTTTCGGTAACAATTTCCATTCTTTTTTGATTGCTTTCACCAACGTCAATAAATTTTTCGGCTTTCTTTGTATAACCTTGGTCTTCAGAAGTGTCCAAAGATTTTCAATCGGATTCATATCCGGACTGAGAGAAGACCATGGAAGATTTGCTACATTATGTTGTAGCTTCCAGTCCTTTGACCAACTGGACCGATGGTTGGGGTCATTATCTTCGAGAAGAAACCATACCCGGTTGCGTCCGAAATGAGCTCGAGCAGTAGGAAGCAGGCAGCTTTGATAAATATTATTGCAAAGAATGGTGCTGTTGAGATTTGTGCTAAAGCACATGATTTTACCGAAACCCTTTAACGAAAGACAACCCATAGGGTGTGGGTGTGTGGGTGGGTGTTGGTGGGTGTGGGTGTGCGTGGGGTGTGGGTGTGGGTGTGGGTGTGGGTGTGGATGTAGATAAATAGAAGAATCATACTCCCACCCACACCACACCTACATCCACACCCACACCCACCCACACCCACACCCACACCCACACTTGTAAGTTATCTTTCTCAGACGGCTATTCTATTTATATGTAATAAGTATCTTGTTGATATTTTTTTTCTTTTTGATCTAGAGATCGATTACATTTGAATTGTTTTTTTTTGTTTTTATTTAGCAAATACGTGAAAAACTAAATTATGCTCATCGTGATGTATATTATCTTCAAGAAAAAAATCTTATACTTGAAAATCAAAATAATTTTCTTGAAAATGAATTTAAACGACAATTAGATAACATAGTTGAAGAAAAAAATGAACATATTAATCGACTTATACATATTATTGATCAAACATATACACGATCAACTCAAATAAATAATCATATTAATGATGAATATTATTCATCAAGTAAATAAATAAAATAAATTTGATTATATTCTAAAAGTTAAAATAATAGACATCAAATATTTTATTAGTAGAAAAAAAAAAATATAATGATCATATTATTTTTTTTTTTTTGCTTTTCTATGAAACCTTTTTACTATTCAACAAAATGGATTCTATATGTAATTGAGAATAAGAATAAGAATAAGTATATTTTATGTATACGTTATAATAATGAAAAATTCAAAGTCTTATCTAAATCTAAATTTTAACCAAGGTATGAATTGAAGTATACTTTTACATATCTCATTATACAAAATAAACTAACCTTGTGATTACTATTGATCAAGGTAATTTCGATTAATTGGAGAATTTTTCCTACAGTTAAGAAACTTCAAATATAATCAAATTATAACAATAGAAACAAGGCTAATTTGATATCGACTTTTGTTTTTTTTTTTCGATTAGTAAATTCTTTATTAGAGCTCATCGGATTAATTTCGAACTCGAGATTTTTACTATTGTTTGATTCTGTCATTACATTTCAAAATATATTTTGTAAAATTTTTTTATAATTGTTAAAAACAAAATTTCTCTTTTTTCATTCTATTGTTTATAGTTTTGATTGGAATATCTAAAATATCTATATATTTGATTTCTTATAGTCAGATATACTAGCAGTAAGATTAAATCTAAAAACCTATTGCAGATTTGAAGTAAATGTTATAATAAACATTAAGATTAATCACAAAATAAAAATTCAATTTCTTTTTTACAAAAATTATGCTTCTGCATAAGAACATACATCAATTAGTTAAATTCCCGTATTTAGAATTTTGTTTAAGAATAAAGCAATGAAATAAAATAGGTTAAATATGAGTCAAAACTGTACAACATTTATTAATGTCCATTATCAGAGTTAAATGGCCGTGGGCATTTTTTGAATAACTTTTGATAGGAACGAGATAGAAATCTCCAATTTTCACCGTTGGAAAGAACAGATGAAGTCGCATCGAACTATAAAGATTTTTTTAAACTATTTTCCTATAGGTTTAGTCAAAAGTTTTCAAAGAATTGCTTTTTTCTTCTATGTTAAAAAATTGGCTTTTCTATCAAAATACGACAAAAATTTACATTTTTCGATTATTTTGTTGAAAAAAAATGAAGTGGTAAATTGTGTTCCGATGGTTTACATATCATACTGGTAGTAGTTAGGAACAGCGTCTTGATATAGTTTTGTAGCTCTTCCTTTGGCCATTCTAGAGCACTCTTGAAAATCAACAAGTTGATATCATGACCATGAGAAGCATGCTGTTTTTCTTGAAGTTTTATATAAAACCTATAGAAAAGTAGTTAGAAAAATCTTTCTATATATATAATTCAATGCGTCTTCATCTGCTCTTTCCAACGGTGAAAACCGGAGATCTCTAACTCGTTCCTATCAAAAGTTATTCAAAAAATGTTCACGTCCATTTAACTCTGAAATGGACATTAGTTACATGTAATAATAATAATGTCGTAGTTGATGGTTTCTTCTATTGTATACTTTTTATTGTTGTTTATCGAATAACAAAGAAGATATATCTTTAGTAAAAACTATCGCATATCGAATTTCTCAATTATTATTATAATTAGTTGTACGGATTCGTCTGAGGTTAAACAATAAGATCGAATGAGACAGTTATTGCTTAAGTTCATTTACTAACGAAAGAAATCCTTCAATGAATTAAACACTAAATATATCCCAACTATAGTTTTGATAATGGACATAAGAAGAGAAGAAAAAAAAAATTCTCGGTTAGAATTAAAGATCATTATTAAACGGAGAATGTTATATTCTTACGGTAGGCTTGTAATTCAATATCGTAATTCCCTTTTTCCTGTTAAGTTACTTCTAATTTTAGCAATTCTTTTTTTTTTAAATGTAAATTTATCATTCCTAGAAAAAAATTGATATTTGATATCAAGATTATAGTAAAAAATTCTCTATAGAAGATCTTTGCTTCATTCTTATTATCTTCTAATGATACTAAAATACTGATAAATATATGTTGACTTGTATACTTTTGAGATAAAACATTCACTTTTATTCTCAGATATATTCTAACAAATATAATAATATTAATTTATCATTTCTTAAATATGAGAAAGACTATTTTTTGTATTTTGAAACTTTTCATAGAGAATAGAAATAATTAATTAATTCAATTCTATATTTTATTAGAAGCTGAAGAATTATCAAAAAAATTTATGGAACAAAATATTGAATTACAACATGAAATTGAAACATTTCGTTCTAAACTTGATTATATTGTAACATATATTAATCAAAAATTGGATCAACAAAAAACAATAACGACAACATCAACATCATCATCTTTATCTATACATCAATTAGTATTTGAAACTATGCAACAAACAGAAATGAAATTACTTGAATTTAAATTAAAATTTATTTCACAACAAGAAGAAAATGATCTTTTAAAATATTTAGTATGTATTATAAAAAATTCAAAAACAAAAAAGTAAAATTTAATTTAAATATATTAGATGGAAAAATCACAAAATATATCAGATATTGAACAAACAAAATTATTTTCTATTATTCAACAACGTTCACTTGAACGTGAAATTGATCTTGTTCGTCAAGAACTTGAAATTACAGAGAAAAAAACTATTCAATTTGAACAAACAGTATAATTGCATTCTTTTTTTTTGGATTGATATTTAAAATATTCATAATTTTTTAGTTTGATAATTCAGATGAAGGAATTAAATTTCATATGGAAAATCTTAAATTAAAATGTGATGTATTACATAAACATATTCTAACATGTAGTCAACGATTAGATGATATTAATAAACAAAATCTTATGAAATTAACAAATGAAAATCAAATATTAAAGTATAGACACAAACAAAAAATATTCGAATTTTATTTTTCCTATGATTTTTTTTTTCGTATAGAATTAGAACTCAACATGAAGAATCAAATATTGATGTATGATGAATAAATTTCTTTTAATAAATTTCTTTATATAAATATATTTTATATTAGAATAAACATATTGAACTTGAATTTGAATTATTACGTTTACGTGAACGTTATAATGAATTAATTGAACATACAAATACACTTAAATCTGAATTAAATAATGCACAAAAACAATTACATGAAAAATAAAAAGTAAATATTAACTTATGAATATTATTAATTTTCTTAATACTTAAATATCTCATTATATTTGTATAGAAACTAAGTAAAAATATATCCTAAAATAGATCGAATAAAACAATCAATTGATGATTAACAACTAGGTATCGGTGGGATCATCTTTTCTTTTTTTGGTCCTGGTTTCAATTTAAAACTTTTTGTTGTTTCTAGAAACAAAAAACGACTTTTCTTATAATCTGTATGATTTTTTGAATATATATAAAATGAATATTGATGATTTTGAGAAATTAACAATTCTAGGTCGAAGATTCCGGTCACCAGATCCTGTAGAAAAGATGCGGGAAAATTCACCGTATCCTGCACGAAAACACTGAAAGTCGCCGGAACAGGGTGGCAGTATTCCGACCGGAAAAGTTTCGGATTTTTTTCCGGACAACTTCCTGAAGAAAACGCGAGGAATTTGATCGGAAGTCACCGAAAAAATCCGAAAAGTGTCCAGCCGGAATACTGCCACCCTGTTCCAATAACTTCCAGTGTTTTTCTGCCAGAACCCACTCGTACTTCTCGACCTGGGCATAAATAAATAAAAAAGGCCTATCTGTAGATCATTAGTCAGAACAGAATAATAAATATGAAAATAGGTAGTCTAGTTCTGGAACAGAAAACATTACGGGACCAGTTTTAAGTCCCGGTTCAAAGATTACATTAACAGATTTCTTTTATCAAATTTAAAATAAAAAAAAGTCAAGGTAATCATTTCGATCGGAAATGTTATTGCTAAAAAGTTCTTATCATAAGTGGTTCCCATATTGTAATAAAAGAAAAAAAAACTCCTGAAAGTGCCGATGGCGCAAGACGCCATCATATTGAATGCCGCCGACATACGTGAAATCATTCTCACAATTCATTACAATGAATACCGACTTAATATTATTTAATAAACAAAAAATGAAATCATTCCTAAAGCAAAACGTCTCAAATTTGAGTACCATTAGAACTCTTCAAAAGTGCTCAGTTTCTATTTTCGTCTTTCTAACAATTAAGTAATTGCGCGTTCTTTTTTTTTTTAATCAAAGGTAAATCAGTTCGTGTTGACATGATTTAATGTCATAAGCTATTAATATAAAAAATATCGACAAGATGTTATATCAAATACTGTTGTTGTTATGTAAAATTGTTTTTTTTTTTACCTAATTAGTCAATATTGTTTATCATAGTATCATTTATGTTACTCACATTATGGAAATTGTATGTTATTATTCATGTCATAATGAGAAAATTTTATCGTATATATATATATATATATAGCCATGATTTATTTTCTGTCAAGAACAAATTATTTTGTTTTTTTTGTTTAAAATTTTATATGTTTTAATTAATATATTTATTAATAAATATAGATTGAACCAAATTAAAATGTTGATTTGGAAAAAGAACGACGACGTGCAGATGAATTTGAAAATGATTATAAATCTTTAAAAATAAAATATGATGATGTATGTGAACGTATTCGTATAGCTACACATCAATTAGAACATGTACAAATTGTACTTGAAGAAACATCACGTCGTTGTGAACAATTGGAAAAAGAAAAGGTAAAGAAAAATAATAATAATAATAATAATTTCATTCTCTTACATATCGCGTACATATTATTCTATGATTCGACTAGTTCAGCTACGGAAAAAATTGGTATTAATACATATGATTTATTATTGCTTCTCCTTTTTTTTCTCTTCATGTTTTTCTATTCACTATTAAATTTCTTAGATAAAATATTTCCATAAGCACATTTTTCTGCACTTATTATTTTTTTCTTTTATCTTATATATAAAACTCCTCTAGACTGAGACGATGAATCCAACATAATTATTTATATATAGATTAAAATAATTTTTTATTGTCATTTGCTTTTTGTTCTAGTCCGAAATTAATGCTCAATCTGAATATCTTTCACAAAATGTTCTTAATGTAACATCAAAATATAAAGATAAAGTAAATATAATTAAAGTTCGTTTGTAAGTCTTTATTTAGAATCCCATGAAAAAAAAAAGAACAAGATTAAAGAAATTTTGATTATTATTATTATAGAGAACAAGCAGAACGTGAAAGACGTGAAGTACAACTTCGTAATGAAAAATTTCAAAATGATAGACAACCGTTTGATGTAAAAAAGTTTGATATGGTTTCATCATGTCAATTTAATTACTTTTTGAATTGTTAAACAAAATGACTGCTGGTTCAATATCTGCTCCGTCAATAACTCCATTACGTGTTGGATATACACAAAAATTTTCCATTGATATAAATACATTGATTGAAATACGTAGTGATACAAATGATGTTGATATTTATTATACATTAGATGGTTCAGAACCAGATGCATTTATAACATTAGCAACACGACGTTCGACTATACAATATAAAAAAAAACCATTTTATATACCAAGAGATATAGCTAATACAGGCATCACGGTAAAGATATTTGGGAAAACAAAAAAATCAGTTTGAAGAATTTTTATTTTTTTTATTAAAATTTATTTAGTGATGGAATTCGAGAAAGTGTTATAGTAACAAAAATATTTGATGTTAAAATTATTCCATCAGATCATTCATTATCGGATGAATATGAAAATCGATATTTATATGAATTACAACAAGAACGAAAGGTAAAAAATTTCAAAATGATAGATAATAAATAAATTCAATAGAAATTTACTTATCTCATGTTTATTGAAATACTGTATAGAATACTTTTTTTTTTATTATGAAATCATACCTATTTTTATATGAAATGTACAATGAATTTGAATCAAGTGAAAGAATATTCTTTTTAGTATTTATTTAAGTAATTTGAAAAAGTATATTTTAGAAAAAGCTGAGTTTTCATTAAAAGAAACTATGAATTCGATTTTTGTAGAAAAACACATCTGAATACATTGAATCTTTCATAAAATATTACGAAAATAAAATAATCTGTTGGATATACGAGCAAGTTTATGTGTCATTATAGATGATTAATCAAGATGTTAAAGTTTAATTAAATATTCAATTTTTCAATATAAATATATTTTAGTTTGCAAAAATATTTATCTTTAATTTTATTAAAAAAAAATTGATATTCAAGAATGTCTCGATATTTCAAGAGTTCAATTAGAAGATCACTAATATGTTAGTAGTAATTTAATGCTTGTCTATCGATATTACTTCATTAAAATGTTTTTTTTTCTATGAAGTTCAAAACTTATCAAAGTCATTGACACATCTTCAATTTTAGTTTTTAAATTTCGATTTGAAACTTTACATAGAGATAGATGTTAACGAAAATAATTTATTGCAAAATATTTTTCATTTCGCCGATAAGAATATATCTAAAACTTTCATTACAAACTATTGTCAGTGATCTCAATCTCTGTGAAATGTGCAAATTCGAGATTTGAAAATAAATATTTCTGAAGAATGTCATAGTCTTATCTAAAGAACAATTTGTAAACATACAATTAGTAAAGCAATCGAACTTTTTTCTACATATTTAATTCAGTTAAATATTTATTAATTGATTTTATAATTTTACTTCAATAGGAATTAATGAGAAAGATGCAAAATGAAAATGAACAAATGCAACAAAAATTATCTGGTATCAAAAAAAAAAAAAAGTAATTTTATTTATTATTAATAAAATTTCTATATAGAATCAATGCATCGTTCAACAATTGATTCATTAGTACAAGAAAATCCAACTAATTATACATATTCAAATTCTCAAATACAAACAAATGTTTTAAGGTTTATCGAAACAAAATTATTTTATTATTTGAGCTTTGTTGTTTCTTTTCTAGATGTGCACATTGTTTTGCACCTAAATCAAATGATTTATATACACGATTTTGTACGGAATGTGGTCTACCTTGGCAAAAACTAACTCATAATCCACCGGATAATTATTCAGTAATTCAAAATAATTCTATCGGATATGATGACTACCCTTCATTTGAAAAAAAGAAACTACCTAATTCCATTCTGTTGAACAACTCATAGTTATTTACGAAATTATTTTTTCATAAAAGTCATTATACCAGTTAAGATATATAAGAGCAATGATGAGTAATATGATCTCAAAAATAACCTATATCTGACATATATATATGAGTCTTTCGAAAACAGTAAAAAAACGTTTTTCTCTTTCAGAATCTTGATAAAGCTATTAATTCTTATAAGAAACCCGAACATATGTTGAATGTGATAGAACTACATATCCGAATCACATTCGATGTTCTGAAGCCTAAAAACAAAAAGAAAAGTCATATATTTTTCTATTCTCAGGAACCATACTTATAGAACAAGGAAAAAGTTGCATAGTTGGTTGCCTTTGTCCTCGACAGTCATATCTTACAACAGCCATCATTGCTATAATACCTGTTAACTAGTAACCCTCCCCCAGAATAAAAGTGCATGCCCTTATACAGTGTCTTGGCACATCACTACTTTTTGGATGGTCTTCTATTGGAGATCAATTTTTGGTCAGTTTTTAATTAAAATTATTTAAAAAATTAATATTTAATTAATAACTTTAATTATTGTTTTTTAGGTGTTTTTTGCTGAAAAAACTACCATTTTTTGTAAAAACTGTACTAATTATGATAGGAAAGGAAGGATTTCGCAAAAAAAGATTAGAAAATCGGTTATATTTCCTTAATTGGGAGGGGCGGGGGGTATATGACTTCTCAGAACTGTAAAATTTGATAGAGTATATCCTTCGACGAATCATGTATTGTTCTACATAACAGTATTGATTACTTTACAAATGAATAGTAGTTATCTTATTTTACACGGATAATTTTTCTTTAATTAGACTAATATATGTACAAATTGTAAATCTACTATTCCATTTAATTCTAACACATGTGTTGTATGTGAAACACCAGTATCCAAAGAACCACAACAGCGACCAACTTCTCAAAATCAGGTTTCAAAAAAATTAATCAAACTTTAATGTTCCTCTCTAGACAAGAATTCTATGTCCTCATTGTAAATCAACAAATCCAATACATTTACGAACATGTTATATTTGTGAAAATGTATTAATACCAACATCGACATCACCAGTAAACAAAAAAAAAATCTTATTTATTTTTTTTTCCGTATTTATATTTCAATAGGAAAAACGAACTTCAATTTCAATTCCAACAATATCAAAACAAACAAATACAATGATGATAACATGTTCAAAATGTTTTTGTTTAAATAAACCTAATGCTCGTTTTTGTGATTGGTATGGTGCATATCCTGAACATATATCTACATCAATACAATGTACAAGATGTCATACTAATAATGATTCATTTGCAAAATTTTGTTCAACATGCGGATGTGTTCTTGAACCACCATTACGTATTATTGATACACGTCTTTAAAATGATTTGAATATTTCATCGTCATCAATGATTGCTAGTGTATATTAAAATTAAAGAATAAAAAGAAAACAAAAAGAAAAGATTCTCGTTTTCTATAGACATTAACACGTAATTTAGTTAATCCTGTATGGCTTAATGCAAATACAACATTAACTAATTATCATCAATCATATTCAACAATTAAAAAAGAAGCTGCAACACAAACATATAGAATTTATTATCCAAGTGCAAAAGATATTGATTTAATTATAACACAAAATAAAAAATTATTAGCTGAAAAAGAATTGAAAGAATATCATCCAATATTAACATCTACAAGTCCAGGAAAAGGATATTGGCGACAACAGTTAGATCATATTTGTGCTCATTTAAAAACTTATGCAGTTAATCGACCAGATTTTCAATCATTGATTGGTAAAGATCTTTAATATTTAAAAAAAACAAATACTTTTATTTTGTTATAATGAATAATAATTATTATTTAAAATATAAATTCTCTTTCTCTCTATATATATATCTTATATATTAATATTAAAAAAGTTTATATATTATTTAATTATTTTTTTTAGGTGAGCCACGTATGGGTAATATGATTCATGCAACTGTACATGAAAATGAATATCAAGTAACTATACAAACAGTATTTCGTAAACCAGAAAATCTTTCACAATCACCATTTTTTATTAATGAAACAAATGAATATTATCCAATAAATAGTGAACGAAGTTCACCATATTCAAATACAATTTATTCTGATAGTGGGCAAAAGTATTCTTTTGCAAAAAAAAAACTTTGTTTTTTACATAGATGAATATCCAAGAGAAATTACAGAAAATATTGAGTGTAAGAATAAAATATTTTATTATAATTTATTTTTATCTTATTAAATTATCTATTATAATTAATAGTCAACTCATGCATTAATTCGATTATTTGAAAAAAAAAATAATTATAATAAAAAATCATCACATCAAATCGATATATTAAAAGAAGTTCAACGTTTAATAAAAGAAAAAGCTGATGTTAATATTAAAAATAAAGAAGGTTATACGATTCTACAATTG